GTCTCCGATCGTATATAGACCAAACAAATCGTAGAATCCAAAATAGGATTTATAAACATTTCATTTCTGTTCGCAATTCTGATTCAATTTCAGCTCTCGGTCAACACCATCTTCATACAGGTCACAAAATTGATTTTGAAAACTCTAGAACCATAGCCCCTATCCACTTCTATAAACCAAGTCTTAGACCAAGAACCTTTCGACATCCTCTCTGATGTCTTCTTCAGAGCTTCCGAAGTCTGTCTCCCGAGCCCCCAGACACTACTACACTCACTACCATCTTCTCTTCCGACACTCCATCCGCTTTTTCAGTCTTCTAGCTCAGTCTTCAGCACTTAAATGTAATGTTAAAGAAAAAATTTAATGTTTCATTACCGTTTCAAAGAACCATAGCTATGCACAGATAATGTTTCATATGTGAATACTAAATTAAGTTAAATACCCATTAAAATAGTGAACTATTTTTATAAATCTAATTTATTTACTTTATGTATTATAAAATGTTCTAACACTTAGTTTATTAGTCTTAATTTATTCCCTCGAACCGGCTGGTAACCTTTCTTGAACTTTCTCGAACGCCATGGAAGCCAGACAGGTTTTAACGTAGGGGTCCCGTGGATATTGCCTACTAAAAAATACTTGTTAGAGAAGTATGTTACTTCTCAACTTGGTACTGGCCATTCCTTAATGGAATCGATTTTTCCCTTATCTACAGCCACTCCTTCTTTACTGACTATATGACCCAGATAATTAACTTTACCTTGAAATAGCTGGCACTTCTTGGAGTTTAACATCAATTGGGCAATTTTAAGTCGATTAAAAACGTTTTCTAAATTCTTCAGATGGTCTTCAAATGTCTCCCCCAAGACGATTTTGCCGTCTAGATAAACCAGGCATGTTTTCCAAGATAATCCCCTCAACACATTTTCCATAAGCCTATCAAATGTCGCAGGGCATTATAGAGTCCAAATGGCATAACGAGGAATTGCCACAATCCAGATTCTGTGGTGAAAGCTGTCTTCTCTTTATGTACTGGGTCCATTTCTACCTGCCTGTATCCAGACTTCAAATCCAAAGTAGAAAACAATTTACTCCCACTTAATGTGTCCAATGTATCGTCGATCCGAGTCAGAGGATAACTATCTTTCTTGGTAACGTTGTTCAGCAAACAACGCCTTCAGCAAACAAGCTTCCTCTCTTTTCGCCTGTGATAATCGTCGAGCTATTTGACGAATTGGCTTAGCATTACCAGTATCAATTGTATGCTTAACAACGGTAGTTCTTCCCGTCTTTCCTCGTTTGGATACGAAAATATCACGATACCGCCGAAGAAATTCCCTCAATTTCTTTTTCTCTAATTTAGAGACTGTCCAGTAACTGAAACCATTTGGTCGAATTTTTCGTTGGAATTATCGGCAGGTATTTCTTTATCCGAAGTCACCAATTCCTTTCCAATTATGATTACTCGACCAACCTCGTCGTCATGGTTCCAAGGCTCCATCATAACAGGTGTCCCTTCGTCCACAATTCTCTGTACCCGCGCTACTATGATCGTTTCACTTCTCGCAGGCACGACTGTATCTTCTTTAACGTCTGCTTGCATCATGTGGATGGAGAAATACCTCCTCGTTACCAATTTTTATTACCTTATTCTTAAAATCCAATTGGAATCCATACATATACTTCTTTTACCCTATGACGGCCGTTATTTAATTAAGATATGATCAGTGGGCCTCAAACAGTGGGGCGTTAGTATTTCATTCCGATCGCCTGAAAAGTAAAAATATTTAATTTCCTGTATTTTGTTCAGTAATAATATTGAATTTCATTGTATCAAAGGCAAATAAAATGAATATAATATGTATATACAGGGCGTGTTAAAAGAAGTCGGACGTAATATTTCGAATACTCGAAATTATTTGTCGACATCAAATGTCTCTTTATCATCAAATCTCTATTTTGTGTAGAGTGAAAATTATACGAATGGTTTTGCATGCAGTAAAATTGGAAAATACTTTTTAAGTTGCTGGTATGTCCAAATTTGAATAAAATACATCCAAGCCTTAACTTTCTGCACACTGTATTAAATATAACCTTGAAACACATTGTCACTAAATCACTTCCGAGTTTTCAGCAAAACAAAATGTTTAAACACGTGTAGCCCAGTAATTAATACCAAACCTATTGAGAGTATGCAGTCCAGTAATTAGACCAAACATACTTTATCGTTTAACTAAAACACACCACAAAGTCCGAATTGAATTCCCGAAACACATTTTTGTTACTTCTTTTTAGCAAACGATTTGTCCTATTCACTGTCTGATTTCTCACTATCAGAGTCGTCACTATCTGAATTGTCTATCCGAATAATTGGAGACCGGACCTCATCTATAACTCGGTCGGTTTGAAAAGACTGAACGATTATGTTTTCCGTATGTCTAATACAATTTTGCCATTGTTCTGCCTTTATTTGTTCTAGCGATTCTTTCCATAAACTAAGACGTCGTAGGGGGTCGCGTAGGGGTCCCTTGGATATTGCCTACTAAAAAAATACTTGTTAGAGAAATATGTTTACAGCTTAGGTTATGAGTTATATTTATCGCAACAATAGCAAAAAAAATGACAAAATCTTTTTATTAATCAAATTTGTGTGCTTTTTATATAATTAACCGATTTATAAAAATAATGAACTTGAAGTATGTATTTTGTATCTACTATATACAAACGCAGTATTTATTTATAACTATTATTAGTAAATTTGTGTTTGAATTTATTGCTGCGTTACTGAAGGAGTGGAAACGAAACAAGTCGTTCGTGTCGAATCGGCACGAAACTGAGGATATGACCTGGTGGTCCTAGTACTTTGACCAAATTCCTATCGACATTCCCAATAGATTTTTTTCTATTGTGTTTCCTTCATTGCACAAGTTCTATAACTGTAGTTTTATGTCTGTTTTTAGTTTAAATTTATTATACATTGTTTGAACTTTTTGAATTTTTCATCTTCATCATTCTGCCGTATTTGCACCTATTTATATGGCTTTTAACATGTTTCTCTTCCTCGTTCTAATTATTTCTTTAATTAATTAAACTGATTATGATTATAAGTCCATCCTTTGGCTTATACTTTAGAACTAATTACAGTCATGTAGATTGTCTCTTTGGTTTTTATCGATACCTATTTTGATATTTTTAATCCCATCATTCCATAATTCCAATTTCTTGAGAAATATGTTTACAGGCAATTCTAGAATTTTTTCAACCTTCTCTAATCACGTTCAGTAATTTTTACCGCTAGGTATTTAATTTTTCACACTATTTCAAATATGTTATTACTCTTCTTTTTACCTTATTTGATCTTCATCAAGTCTGCCTCATTTTCTTGCTTATGCATTTTTTAGAGGATCCTTTAAGTTTTCATAACGTCTTGTATTTTTTAAATAGCAACGTAGGTTGAAAGATATATCACAGAAAAACTTGTTTATTCCACTTTTCACAAAAGTGAAAAAAGATCTGTTCCTTTGGTTTCTGCTGTAGCACTAGTTCTAAAAAAGTGTAGAAGTGCTGCACTAAGTCGTTCCTTTGCAAAGTGTAGTGCTACATCACTCTGTTCCATTGAAAAGTGTAGCAAAAAAAGTGTAACACTGTGTAGATAAATCTACACCTTCTTCTGAGAGGGTGACTAACTACACTCGTTACACTAGTCTTGAGCAGTATCCTCTAACCGAGTTTGACAATTGTTTAGCTGTCAGATGTGTTTGTTTGCAAAAAAATATCTTTTTCTTTTTAATTTAATTTAAATTTAAAGACTTTAAAAAGCTATTAGTGATTTTAAAAACTGAAGTACCTACAAATTTTAATTTAATTTAATTTTTATTTTGTTGTTTCTTTTAAATTGAGTTTAAAAGTTTTTAAAGTTTTTAAAGTTTATTTAAATTAAAGAATGCAAATCGATTAAGTGAAACTTTTGTTTAGATTTTCGTTTCATACTAGCTAGTATGAAACCTACACTCGAAAGTGTTACACTAGAAAACCAAGGAACAGACCTAATATAAATGACTAAATAGTTGAAGGAAATTTATTTAAACTGTAATTTTAAATAAATGTTGTTTTACAATACATAAAACTAATCGGTATTGTAAAAGAGCCAATGTATACATATACATACAATAAGCATTGCGTCTTTTTTAATACTCATGAACCATACTAATATCGTGTGAACGCGCGTTATATCCATAAAATTGGAGACTATGAAGGGCGCAAACGTAACACATCTTCATTTAAACTGCTTGTTGTGAACCTCGTACCCGTTAAATTTTATCGATAAGAACCAAGTCAGTATCTTTGAAACTTCTACTGTTCAAGATTATGAGTGAGTCCTCGTTGATGATTCTTTCCGTAAATATTGCAATAAGGATATCGCTCACCTTGTCTTTTCTAGGTCTTTTTATGATCGTCTGTAAATCTTAAATAAAACCTGAACTCATTCGAGAACATCACGTTTCTCCAATCTGCGTCAACCCATTTTGTACATACTATTGCAAAAGCAAGTTGACCTCTATCTACTTGCTTTTCTCTGCTTGCTTAATATTCTACAGATAAGACGAGATAGTAAATCATGTAAAGTTTTGAAAAAAGCAAATTCATATTGTTTTTAAGAAATTCTCAAAATAATGTAGATACGTTTTGAAGTCATAAAAAATAAGGTAAAAGAGCGCCTTTCATATCCAGTCTCTTTATAAGAGGACTCGTCCTTCTACAAACAATTTAGAGCTTGATTCTTTTCATTTTACTTCAAAATGTGTTAAACTCATTCCAATAAGGTTATCCATCTTACTAGATATTCCTAGCGCCTACAATACTGTTACAAATTACATTTTCGTTGTCAATAATTTGTTGTTCATAAAATCATTAAAAAACAAAACCGATCAAATTATATAAGGATTTTGAACAACTCCGATTTCTTAGAACAGTTTAATAATCTTGATGATATGTTTCAGAACTATGTGGAAAAAATGTTGTTTCTCGGGAGACGGTGAATATATTTGTGCTGGTTCAAACAGACAGCACGCTCTTTATATTTGGGAAAAATCCATTGGCAATTTGGTAAAGATCCTTCACGGTACAAAAGGAGAATTGCTTTTAGATGTAGCTTGGCATCCAGTAAGGCCTATTATCACTAGTATTTCTTCAGGTAAGATAGTAAAACTAATAAGTAAAACCAAACATTGTTGACCAATAAACACATCTTAAATAACAAATTAAGACGAAGAGTATTCGACTAGCTGGTTGAAAATAACGTAATTAGCATCTGAAACATCACTGCAATTATTATACTTGATTTTTATTAAAATTTGTTTGATTATATGGAAAATTGAGATACATATTTATATTTTTCTTATTTTTTTTTACAAACTCAATAGTATTTTTCCAATTGTCAATATTCATATAGTATATGCATCTCTTTAAGGGAGCTAAACGTATAACTTTAACCCATTATATACCAGCGTCGTATTGATAGATCACTGAATGTTTTTTTTAAACCGGAGACCAGGTACCCCTGAAAAAAAAAAGAGCATGCTACTTGGGGAGTGCAGACAGAATTGAATACTTCTCATAGTAGTATAAGATCCTACTACAGGATCACTACGTTGATAACGTAGTTCATCAAACTCACATTTTCACATACATTTAAAATTAGGAAAATACATTGATAATTGGTTGTCAATAAAAAAGTGGCCGGTCAAATATTTTTAGTTCAATTAATAGTAATTAGTTTTTGACAAATATTTTATTTAGTTTATTTATTTTTAATATATATATATATATATATATATATATATATATATATATATATATATATATATATATATATATATATATTAGATATACAAGAAAAGGAAATTACAGATATTATTAAAACTAGTTTAAATGACCTTTTTAAACATGGATCGATCAATGTTAATGGAACCTTAAATCGGCAAATCGAAATAATGAAAATTTACAATATTTGTTAAATGGTCAAAACATCGATGGACCTTTACATCGACCAGAAACTAGATTTACATCCAATAATTAATTTAGTCTTCCAGGTTACAACATTGTGAGGGATGACCGTTTAGACCGCAGTGGAGGTCGAAGGGCATCTTTATTAAATCGAACTTTTGTATACGGAACTACCTATTTCTGTTTTACTATCTAATTGTAATCAATCATCCATTATTTTAAAATCTAATGATAAAAAAAAGATTACAAGTGTATCGCTTTAGGTCTCACTAAAAACTAAAGTTCCGGTGTATATTTGGGATAAATTCTTCAGTTCTTTTAATCCACTTTGTGACGGGTAGCTCTTTACACAGCAGACTCAGTAAAACTCATGTTTAAATCAAATAAAAATATATTCGAAATAAATAAATCTCCGACAATGCTTTGGGATGACCTCAGCGGAGCTGTTTCGCAGAGCAGTTAACAAAACCATGATAGCCTTGATGATCGCCAACATCCGGACCGGATAAGGCACTGAAGAAGAAGAAGAAGAATATTATATACAATATAATTAAGAGTGTCAATCCTGGCGACAACGGCCGCCACGGCGGTATGACCCACTGTATAATATCTGCGAAAAATAAAATACAATTAATGATATAAAATCTAAACGGCAATTACGCTGTGAGTAATACACACAGGACAGACGGTAGGAAAACGGATCGAAGGAGTAGAGATGGAGCGGGCCAATCAACACTCGGTCCGAGGAACGGATGGGGTCCAATCAGTACTTGGACACAGGAGAGAATAGCTATGTTTCAGATCAATACTCCAAGACCGGGTACGAAACTAACGAAACTACCACTAGATCAATATTCTAGCCTAACAGAAGCGGTTGGCCTTAAGTCAATCCACTTGAGTCAGTGCAGGTATTGTCAGATCAATACTCGGGCAGAGTTTCTCCTGCAGCGGCTGCTCTTTATACGGTCGCCTTCTAGCGCACATCGATGGAGGAGGAAGGGATGCGTGAATACGAAGCGCTGAGGGTATTGAGGCGATGCAAATCGTTACATCCCCTTCTCTTTGAAAAAAAAAATATAGCATATATTTTTTTTTGTAGCTGATCCCTTTTACCCTTCTTGGCAACTTGATTTTTATCCTTCTGCCGTTATTGTAGGTCACCCGGATTTTCTTGGTCCCCTTTTCCACCAGTTCTTTCGGGACGATTTCTGTCAAATCGGAATTGTTTCCCAGTTGTGGCTCCTCCGCACATGTCATTGCTGCGGCTTCAAGACCCGTCGGTGTGTCGTCAGCGAGGAGTTGTCTTGATGGGGATGGTGGCGTACCAAATAGCTGGTAAAACTTGTTTAGGATGCGTTCTGCTTCCTTCCCTGGCGTGACAGGCAGCCCAGGTCTCTCTAGTGTTCCTAGTGGGCTCATCTCTTCAGTTGAGTTCTGTTTTCAGAATTCGCTGCTTAAGTACTGTTGGTCTCAGGTGGGGATAGGATTTCTTTGGAGGTGGCTTCTCCTTCTCGCGGTTTTAAATCTTTGACATGCGCTGTTACCTGTTTGCGGTTTCTACTATTCGACAATTTGATTTTTACTATTACCGGTAATATAACTGATGCTACAGTGTATGAACCTGAATATTTCGGCGTCATGGTGAAAACTTCACTTGCCGAGGATAGATGGTATTCCTTTTTCATGATGTGATATCCTGGGTACGAATGCCAGTCCATTCACCTTAGATCGTTATGTTTCTTCTGGTCCTCAAAAGCATGTTCCATGTGTACTTTTATCAGGTCCCTTAATGCTTCTAATTTATTTCCGTATTCCTTCCTTCTAAGTTTTCCGCGTATTCCTGTTTATTTGGCATTTGGCTTTATCTGATGCGTCTAATTCTCTTCCGAAATTAAGAAGCACTGGTGAAAATCCTGTCGAATCATGTTTTGACGAATTTATGGCCTAGCAAAATTCCGGTAAAAATGTATCCCACTCTTTATGATTGTCCTCCACGTATAAAGCTATAATTGTTTTGGATTTTCTGGATTGCATTGTGCCGAGTAAGGTGGTGTAAGGACGTGATTTGTGTTGTATGATTTTAGAAATCATGAATGTATTGTCTGTGTGAGTCTATTTCAAATAGGTAAAAAGAAATAAAATAAGACGTACTCACAATCAATTTAATTTTACTACTGAGACGACCGGTTTTGCTTTCTACAATTTGCAAAGCATCTTCACGTCAATCGGTACAAATTAAATTAAATGCTGAAATTATAAAAAGCCCATAATAGGGTGCTGTCTTATAAAGATAGAGATAAAATTACAGTAATTATGCCAATATTACATGTCTGTGTTTTAATATGAATAAAGTTATTTAAGCAGACAAAGTAAAACCCACAAGTTGATATAAAATAAAACAATCTAATGAATTGTAATAAAATAGTAAATAAACAAAACATTACTTACATGCCGGTATAAGAATTAATAGACAATGATTCGAAGAACATAGTTCAAATGTATTGCTGATGATGGGGGATCTTCGGTTTTACTATTGTAACTGTTTGATAATTAGCGGGGAAGTTTCTTGAGGAGATAGATGTTAACAATTTAAATAGGAATAAGGTATAATGTGATTGTTAAATGAAAGTTATGTTCTATATTATTTAATGTATTAAAAGTTATTTATATTTATTCAAAAGATATATTTTAGAAATGTGTATTAATTTATTGAAATTTTTATTAATGGGTTAGTTGTATGACAATGAATGAAATTAGATGTACAGTTATGTGGGTGCGCAATTCCTTTAACTTGTAATTATCAAATTTCTTTGATAAAGTTGAATTTGATTACTGTTTTGGCAGATAATTGAGATATGTTAAAATTATAAAAACTAAAACAATTAAGGACACTTAGGGACAAACAGAACACAATTAAAAGAACAAAACAGAGATTAAATTTAAAAAGGGGGACTTATTGGCACTACATCACTTAGTAGGAGATTAACTGGAAAAACTGAGTTTTTTGTTGTCTACTAGACTTTTATAGGTAATTTTGACAAGCTAATGTAGGTTAAAGTGTGACAGTTCTACTTCTATTTTTTAGTATTGTAACTAAAGTTAACCGATTTTTTTGAAGTAAATAGATATTAATGAAAAAATGTTTAAACATTTAAATGGAAATTGTAAGCTAATATGTATAATATTTTCATACTTCTAAAAATCACTAAATGAATTAAATTTAAATGTAACAATCAGAATAATTGAAATAATTTCTTATATAACTAACTTAATGAATCAGAATTACAAAACAAACTTAAGTGAGTATTTGGTAATTAAAATATTGATCCTCCCGAATAAGCTATCCCTCATGGTATGTGTAAACATTTTATTTTAGTTCTAATATATTAATATGGAAACTAGAGAAAAATAGATAAATTGTTGATAGTAAATTAATCAACAAATTCCAGAAATTAACTGAATTATTACAAGTTAATAATGAGTTGGTAATTCTGGTATATGACAGTTGAGTACCGGTAATGGGCCTGACTATAGGTAATTGATGTACTATTTAAACGGTGCAACAGTAAATTTTATTCTTATTTTAAGTTTATAATGTACCATGAAAAGATTTCTGTAACGCTTTACAATATCAAATTTACAGTCACTTATGGTTATAAGTTTAGTATCTCTATTCGACAACGTGAAATTTGTATATGATTAAGATAAAAATGAATTGATTTAATTAATAATACTAGTCTGAACGATTTTTAAATGTTGTGTTTGAGGTTTTCCAACCACGTGTTGAAATCAGATTCTATATAATGGGTATAGTCGGCACGTAATTTCGTGAGAAAATTTACAGGAACGAAAGCAAGCAAAATACTAGTAAAATGGCAACGCTGTTAGAATTACCACTATTTTATTGTGAGAACAGTAGCGTAGACATCTAATTTTAAATTAAATAAAAGTTTTTACTTTTATTTAATTTTATTTACCAAAAAGTTTCATTTTCTATAAAGTTTAAATAAAAAATATCGGTGTTTTTTAACTTCTGTGATATATCTTGGGAGTGATAACACTAATCGACTCGACTGAACAGAACTTATTGTAAAATAATAATATCTATATAAAACATTGTCAATAATAGTAGTTATTCAGCGATAATGACAGTGATAGTTTCAGTTGACATACTCCCCTAAAACATTA